GTCACAGGGACAAACACGGACACCCACCCCCCAAACACGGACATCCTGGGGGGGTTAAAGGGGTCGGGGGGGTGTCCCAGGGGTCAGAGAGGTCCCAGGGGGGGTCCCAGGGGTCGGGGGGGGGTCACAGGAGACCCCCCCCCATTAACTCAAGGGTTAAGATGAAATAGGGATCCCCCGGGAACCCCTAAAACCCCCCTGATGACACCCAGATCCCCCCCTGTGCCCCCCCCCAGGACAAACGGGGGGGTCCAGGGCACATGGGGGGGACCCCTGAGGGTGGGGGACACTTAAAATAACCAGAAGACCCCCCCTGGGACCCCCAAACCCCCCCTTTTGTGGTGACAGGGACACCCAGGGCCCCCCATTTCCCCTCCCCAGGACAAGGGGAGGGTCAGGGGGGTGTTTTTTGGGGGGGGGGGTCGCCCCCAGACTCACTTGTTGCCGATGGTGGTGGCCGAGTGGAGGCTGCGGGGCAGGGGGGCCACCCCGCTCAGGCTCGGCTTGTTCCACGTCAGCGTCTCTGGGGACCCCAAAAACCACCGACAGCGTCAGAAAACGGCCCCCAAACGGGAAGAAACGGCCCCAAAACCGTCCAGAACAGGAAGAAATGGCCCCAAAACAGGAAGAAACGGCCCCCAAACCGCCCCAAACGGGAAGAAACGGCCCCAAAACCGTCCAGAACAGGAAGAAATGGCCCCAAAACAGGAAGAAAAGGCCCCAAAACCACCCCAAACGGGAAGAAATGGCCCCAAAACCATCCAGAACAGGAAGAAATGGCCCCAAAACAGGAAGAAAAGGCCCCAAAACCACCCCAAACGGGAAGAAACGGCCCCAAAACCATCCAGAACAGGAAGAAATGGCCCCAAAACAGGAAGAAAAGGCCCCAAAACCACCCCAAACGGGAAGAAACGGCCCCAAAACCGTCCAGAACAGGAAGAAATGGCCCCAAAACAGGAAGAAAAGGCCCCAAAACCACCCCAAATGGGAAGAAATGGCCCCAAAACCGTCCAGAACAGGAAGAAATGGCCCCAAAACAGGAAGAAAAGGCCCCAAACCGCCCAAAACGGGAAGAAATGGCCCCAAAACCACCCAAAATGGGAAGAAATGGCCCCAAAACTACACAAAATGGGAAGAATCGGCCCCAAAACTACACAAAATGCAAAGAAACAGCCTCAAACCCACCCAAAACAGGAAGAAATGGCCCCAAAACAGGAAGAAACGGCCCCCAAACCACCCAAAACGGGAAGAAATGGCCCCAAAACTACCCAAAATGCAAAGAAACGGCCTCCAAATCATCCAAAATGGGAAGAAACGGCCCCAAAACGGGAAAAAATGGCCTCAGAATCATCCAAAATGGGAAGAAACAACCCAAAATGGTAAGGAATGGCCCCAAAACTACACAAAACCAGAAGAAATGGCCTCAAAATCATCTAAAATGGGAAGAAACGGCCCCAAAACCACCCGAAACGGGAGGAAATGGCCTCAAACCCACACAAAATGCAAAGAAACGGGCCCAGATTCATCCAAACTGGGAGGGAATGGCCCCAAAATCATCCAAACCGGGGGGAAATGGCCTCAAAATCATCCAAACTGGGAGGAAATGGCCCCAAAATCATCCAAACTGGGGGGAAATGGCCCCAAAATCATCCAAACTGGGAGGAAATGGCCCCAAAATCCTCCAAACTGGGAGGAAATGGCCCCAAAATCATCCAAACTGGGAGGAAATGGCCCCAAAATCATCCAAACTGGGAGGAAATGGCCCCAAAATCATCCAAACTGGGAGGAAATGGCCTCAAAATCATCCAAACTGGGAGGAAATGGCCTCAAAATCATCCAAACTGGGAGGAAATGGCCCCAAAATCATCCAAACTGGGAGGAAATGGCCCCAAAATCATCCAAACTGGGAGGAAATGGCCCCAAAATCATCCAAACTGGGAGGAAATGGCCCCAAAATCATCCAAACTGGGAGGAAATGGCCCCAAAATCATCCAAACTGGGAGGAAATGGCCCCAAAATCATCCAAACTGGGAGGAAATGGCCCCAAAATCATCCAAACTGGGAGGAAATGGCCCCCAAAGCCACTGAAAGGTGAAGGATCAGCCCAAGGACGGGAAGAAACGGGCCCCAAATCCTCCAAAACGGGAAGAAACGCCCCTGAAACCACCCCAAAAATGTGTCCGTCCCTCTCCGGGTACCCCACGGACCCCCCTGAGCCCCCCCAGTGTCCCTGAGCCCCCCCAGCCCCTGGTGACCCCCAAAGCCCCCCAATACCAATGTCGAGGGTCCTTGGGTCCCCCAGCCTGCAGCCCCTCATGCCCCCAGAGATGGTGGCACAGCCCCCTTCCCCTGGCACCCCTAAACCCCCCTGGGCACCCCTAAACCCCCCGGAGCCCTCCCAGCCCCCTGCTGACCCCCCAAAACCCCCCCGTACCCATGTCGAGGGTCCACAGGTCCCCCAGCCTGCAGCCCCTCATACCCCCAGAGATGGTGGGACCCCCTTGGTTGCCCCCATTCCCCTGGCACCTCCTGGACCCCCCCAGTGTCCCTGAGCCCCCCCCAGTGTCCCTGAGCCCCCCCCAGTGTCCCTGAGCCCCCCCAGTGTCCCTGAGCCCCCCCCAGTGTCCCTGAGCCCCCCCAGTGTCCCTGAGCCCCCCCCAGTGTCCCTGGTGACCCCCAAACCCCTCCAAAGCCCCCCATACCAATGTCGAGGGTCCACAGGTCCCCCAGCCTGGACCCCCTTGTGCCCCCGTAGATGGTGGCACACTCCCCTTCCCCTGGCACCCCTAAACCCCCCTGAGCCCCCCCAGTGTCCCTGAGCCCCCCCAGCCCCCTGGGGGACCCCAAACCCCCCAAAGCACCCCGTACCGATGTCTGAGGGGTTCCATGTCCCCCAGCCCTGCAGCCGCCACACCGACCCCTCAATGCCCCCAGAATGACGGAGCGGGATCATCCTGTCCTCCTCTCCGTGTAACACCACGGACCCCCCCAGCCCCCCCCGTTCCTGAGCCCCCCAGCCCCCCAGACCCCCAAACCCACTTCCAGGCCCCCCGTACCGATTGGGTCGAGGGTTCCACAGGTCGCCAAGCCGGCAGCCAGCTCAGATGTGTACCCCCAGAGATGACGAGGTGGGATCTCTGTCCGTCCCTCTCCGTGTACACCACGGACCCCCCTGAGCCCCCCCAGAGCCCCAAACCCCCCCAGAGCCCCCCGTACCGATGTCGAGGGTCCACAGGTCGCCCAGCCTGCAGCCGCTCATGCCCCCGTAGATGACGAGGTGGGATCTCTGTCCATCCCTCTCCGTGTACACCATGGACCCCCCCAGCCCCCCTGGTGTCCCTGAGCCCCCCCAGACCCCCAAACCCCCCCAGAGCCCCCCGTACCGATGTCGAGGGTCCACAGGTCCCCCAGCCTGCAGCCGCTCACGCCCCCAGAGATGACGAGGTGGGATCTCTGTCCGTCCCTCTCCGTGTACACCACGGACCCCCCCAGCCCCCCTGGTGTCCCTGAGCCCCCCCAGACCCCCAAACCCCCCCAGAGCCCCCCGTACCGATGTCGAGGGTCCACAGATCCCCCAGCCTGCAGCCGCTCATGCCCCCAGAGATGATGAGGCGGGACCTCCTGCCGTCCCTCTCCGTGTACACCACGGACCCCCCTGAGCCCCCCCAGTGTCCCTAAGCCCCCACCCCACACCCTGGGGACCCCCAAACCCCCCCAGAGCCCCCCGTACCGAGTCGAGGGTCCCAGATCCCCCAGCTGCAGCCCCTCATCCCCCAGAGATAAGAGTGGACCGCGCCCTCCTCTCCGTGGTTACACCACGGACACCCCCCCCGAGCCCCCCCAGACCCCCAACAACACCACCAAGAACGAAAAAACGCCCCCAGAGCCCCCCGTACCGATGTCGAGGGTCCACAGGTCCCCCAGCCTGCAGCCGCTCATGCCCCCGTAGATGACGAGGTGGGATCTCTGTCCATCCCTCTCCGTGTACACCACGGACCCCCCCAGCCCCCCTGGTGTCCCTGAGCCCCCCAGTGACCCCTGGTGACCCCAAACCCCCCCTGAGCCCCCCGTACCAATGTCGAGGGTCCACAGGTCCCCCAGCCTGCAGCCGCTCATGCCCCCGTAGATGACGAGGCGGGACCTGCGCCCGTCCCTCTCCGTGTACACCACGGACCCCCCTGAGCCCCCCCGGTGTCCCTGAGCCCCCCCAGACCCCCAAACCCCCCAAAGCCCCCCGTACCGATGTCGAGGGTCCACAGATCCCCCAGCCTGCAGCCGCTCACGCCCCCAGAGATGACGAGGCGGGACCTCCTGCCGTCCCTCTCCATGTACACCACGGACCCCCCTGAGCCCCCCCGGTGTCCCTGAGCCCCCCAGTGACCCCTGGGGACCCCAAAGCCCCCCAGAGCCCCCCGTACCGATGTCGAGGGTCCACAGGTCGCCCAGCCTGCAGCCGCTCATGCCCCCGTAGATGACGAGGCGGGACCTGCGCCCGTCCCTCTCCGTGTACACCACAGACCCCCCCGAGCCCCCCCAGACCCCCAAACCCCCCCAAACCCCCCCAAAGCCCCCCGTACCGATGTCGAGGGTCCACAGATCCCCCAGCCTGCAGCCACTCATGCCCCCGTAGATGACGAGGCGGGACCTGCGCCCGTCCCTCTCCGTGTACACCACGGCCGTGTGGGACTCGCGGGGCGGGGGCAGGACCCCGTAAGTGATGGGGATGTCCCAGGCCAGGACCCCCGAGCCCGGGCGCAGCTCCAGCACGTACAGGTCGTTCAGGTACCTGGCCGGGGGGGGGCACGAGGTCAGGGGGGAGACCCCCAGAAAGGTTGTCAGGGGATGGGGTTGGGGGGGTGTACCGAGCTACCTCTACCCCGAGGGACACACGGGGGTTCCTGGGAGACCCCCAAAACGCAGCTGGGGTGGCCCCAAAGTCACCTGTGCCCCCTCTCCCTAAAGAATAGGGTCACCTGTGCCATCCCCCAAAAGAACAGGGTCACCTGTGCCCCCTCTCCCTAAAGAATAGGGTCACCTGTGCCATCCCCCAAAAGAACAGGGTCACCTGTGCCCCCTCTCCCTAAAGAATAGGGTCACCTGTGCCATCCCCCAAAAGAACAGGGTCACCTGTGCCCCCTCCCCAAAGCACCCAGGGGTCCCTGGGACACCCCCAAAACACAGCTGGGGTGGCCCCAAAGTCACCTGGGACACCCCCCAAAAAGGAAAGGGTCACCTGTGCCACCCCCCAAAGCACCCAGGGGTCCCTGGTTTTGGGGTCTCACTGTCATTTATCGTCCCTCAAACACGGGATGTTGGTTTTGGGGTCTTTACTGTCATTTTTCCACCCCCCAAACAGGGTCCCAGTGCCCCCCTCCCCAGTTCCCAAGGGTTTGGGGTCTCACTGTCATTTGTCACCCCCCAAACAGGGTCCCAGTGCCCCCCTCCCCAATTCCCAGGGTTCTGGGGTGCCCATACCAGGGGATGTTGGTTTTGGGGTCCTCACTGTCATTTATCACCCCCCAAACAGGGTCCCAGTGCCCCCCTCCCCAATTCCCAAGGTTTTGGGGTGCCCACACCAGGGGATGTTGTTTTTGGGGTCTCACTGTCATTTGTCACCCCCCAAACAGGGTCCCAGTGCCCCCTCCCCAATTCCCAAGGGTTTGGGGTGCCCGTACCAGGGGATGTTGGTTTTGGGGTCCTCACTGTCATTTATCACCCCCCAAACAGGGTCCCAGTGCCCCCTCCCCAATTCCCAAGGGTTTGGGGTGCCCACACCAGGGGATGTTGTTTTTGGGGTCTCACTGTCATTTCCCCCCCCTAAACAGGGTCCCAGTGCCCCCCTCCCCAATTCCCAGGGGTTTGGGGTCTCACTGTCATTTATCACCCCCCAAACAGGGTCCCAGTGCCCCCTCCCCAATTCCCAGGGTTCTGGGGTGCCCATACCAGGGGATGTTGTTTTTGGGGTCTCACTGTCATTTATCACCCCCCCTAAACAGGGTCCCAGTGCCCCCCTCCCCAATTCCCAAGGGTTTGGGGTGCCCACACCAGGGGATGTTGTTTTTGGGGTCTCACTGTCATTTCCGCCCCCTAAACAGGGTCCCAGTGCCCCCCTCCCCAGTTCCCAAGGGTTTGGGGTGCCCGTACCGGGGGATGTTGTTTTTGGGGTCTCACTGTCATTTGTCACCCCCCAAACAGGGTCCCAGTGCCCCCCTCCCCAATTCCCAAGGGTTTGGGGTCTCACTGTCATTTGTCACCCCCCAAACAGGGTCCCAGTGCCCCCCTCCCCAATTCCCAAGGGTTTGGGGTGCCCACACCAGGGGATGTTGTTTTTGGGGTCTCACTGTCATTTGTCACCCCCCAAACAGGGTCCCAGTGCCCCCCTCCCCAATTCCCAAGGGTTTGGGGTCTCACTGTCATTTCCCCCCCTAAACAGGGTCCCAGTGCCCCCTCCCCAGTTCCCAAGGGTCTGGGGTCTCACTGTCATTTCCCCCCCTAAACAGGGTCCCAGTGCCCCCTCCCCAGTTCCCAAGGGTCTGGGGTGCCCGTACCGGGGGATGTTGGTTTTGGGGTCTCACTGTCATTTGTCACCCCCAAACAGGGTCCCAGTGCCCCCCTCCCCAATTCCCAGGGTTCTGGGGTGCCCGTACCAGGGGATGTTGTTTTTGGGGTCTCACTGTCATTTATCACCCCCAAACAGGGTCCCAGTGCCCCCTCCCCAATTCCCAGGGGTTTGGGGTGCCCGTACCGGGGGATGTTGTTTTTGGGGTCCTCGCTGTCGTTGGCCAGCCCCCCAAAGAGGTAACACTTGTTGCCCACCAGGGAGAAGCTGTGGCCCAGCCGGGGGCAAGGGGGGGGCCCGTTTTTGGGGGTCTTCGCCTTCAGTCGCTTCCACTCCCAGCGGCTGGCCTGGAATGGGAGGGGGGGAACAGCTGGGATCGGGGGGATCCTGGATTTGGGGGGGAACCCAGGGGTCCTGGGGGATCCTGGATTTGGGGGGGGAACCCAGGGGTCCTGGGGAATGGGGGATCCTGGATTTGGGTGGGAACCAGGGGTCCTGGGCATGGGGCTCCTGGATTTGGGGGGATCCAGGGGGGTCTGGTGGGGGAACCCCGGGGGTCCTGGGGACTTGGGGGATCCTGGATTTGGGGGGGAGGGGAAAAACCAGGGGTCCTGGGGAATGGGGGATCATGGATTTGGGGGGGGAACTCAGGGGTCCTGGGGAATGGGGGAGCCTGGATTGGGGGGGGGGAACCCAGGGGTCCTGGGGAATGGGGGATCCTGGATTTGGGGGGGGAACCAGGGGTCCTGGGGAATGGGGGATCCTGGATTTGGGGGGATCCAGGGGGGTCTGGGGGGGAACCCAGGGGTCCTGGGGAATGGGGGATCCTGGATTTGGGGGGGGAACCAGGGGTCCTGGGGAATGGGGGATCCTGGATTTGGGGGGGGAAATCAGGGGTCCTGGGGAATGGGGGATCCTGGATTTGGGGGGGGGGAACCCAGGGGTC